CCCATTTGATGAGTGTCAAGCTCATGAGAGATTATCCCCAAAAAAACAAGGTGGACAACATGTAAACATGGCATCCAAGTTTGTCTATAAGTGCACACAAGTGAATGTGTGCTCCCACACATGTACACCTTCACACACATGCACACACACGTGCACATGCACACGACTTCCCTTGTAATTCAGATGGCCAGCTAACATGGGAAACTAACAGTCTAGAGAATTCACCTTGATCAGTTTTTAGGCAAGGAGCTGCCTATAACAAGCCAAATCTGTCTGAATTTTATAATGGGTTGAGTCTAATAGTTACATAGAATTTGGCAATTTCCTAAATGAAATAAGTTCAGAAGAAATTTAGCCTATCTTTATTTTTAACATTAAAATCTCCCAGTATGCATCCTAGAATGATGTAGACAAAAGGACATATGTGGCCCAGCGAGACTCGACCTGCACATAGAGGTTTCTCTTAAATCCCCCCATTTGCTTGAAGCCTTGCATCCAAATCTTAGCTCTTTGTCTGGCTCCATGTGCTCCACGTGCCCTCCTGGACACCCCAGGCAAGCTCTTTCTTATCTCCTCTGTGTGGTCAACATGCAGGTCTTAGAAGACACTTGACCCATCATGTCTTCTCCTAATCTTCTCCAAGAAAAGCATTCCTAATTTCTTCCCCTCGTCCCCAGATAGGCACCAGTGGACTGATGCCTGTTGGTTAATGCTGATTCTGTTGTTAGGAGGGAACCTGATCTTATCATGGCTTCTTTGAACCCTGGTAGTTCCTTCCAATAATTGTTTATGCATTGAACCTTCTGTTACACACAAAGGGGGGGGGGAGAAGGAGAGGGAGGGAGGAGGGGAGAGGTGGAGAGGGGGGAGGGGGGAAGGGGAGGGAGAAGGAGACGGAGATGGAGACAGAGCATTCCTTTAAGATTTTTTTTCTAGAAACTATAAAAGATTGATGGGGGCTGACTGAGCTGTTCTATTCCCAGGATATCTTTCCTCTCCCAACCCCCACTCACTTTACTTGAGACAGAGTCTCATGTGTCCCAATTTGCCCTTAAACCTCTATGCAACTAACAATGAACTTCAACTTCTGATCCTCCTGCCTCCACTTCTCCAAGTGCACTACCACTTGTTTTGTTTGGTGGTAGCAGTGGGAAGGACCCATAGCTTCATGCATGCTAGGTAAATTCCCAGCCATGTCTCAACCCTTTCCTCCCGTTTTTAAGGATTAATACAGTTCCCCACATACATCCACTATTTCTCACATTCTTTCAAAGAATTTTCTACTATTACAGATTCCCAGGGCCCAGACTATTCCTGACTTGTCATTTAAAATATTTTGAGAGAGTGACATCATACCTTTTGGATGACTCACTGTAAGACCCTCTAGAAAATTAACTGTCAGATCACATACAACAGTACCTGCTCTGTGTGGAGCACATGGATGAGAACCTGGACTTCAGGGCTTGGGGTCTTACGTTATCCCAGTTAATGTGTAGGATGTGGGCCTCAGCATGAAACACCTATTCTGTAGGTAATCAGCCTTCCTCGGTGCCCCGACCCCTGCCACCGAGCTTAGGGTGTCCTTTCAGAGGAGACTTGTCTTTCATTGTTCATGGAAACAATAGAAACAGAAGGTCAGCATGACTATTTTCCTTTACCCTATGGCCAGCTTTACTTTTTCTCTTTGTCCATCTGGTCTACCTTTTCCTTCTATTCTCACCTCTCCCTTTCCTACTAGATAAATCTCCCTGTTGCACATCTGTAACTGACTTGGATGCTGCTCCACAGTCAGATATGACGTAACAGAACCTCAGAATCCAGGAGCGGCACTTCTCTTCCTTCCCTCTGCAGGAAAACACATTCTGACTCACTGCCGGGTGGTCAGCCTAGCAAGAGGACAGGTGCAAGGCTCCCCGGTTAAAATTCTGGTCTTGCCAGTTACCAACTAAGTGGTGCCTTTCAGCACATCACCTGGCAGTGGGCCTCAGGGCTAAAATGAAAATTGTAGTGCCTGTTTCCGAGAAATGCACTGAAAAATTAAGTGCTTAATTCATAAAAAATTAATAAAACAGTACTGACATATAATTAGGGTTCAATAAAAAGTGCCGCATTACTGCTGAATAAACTATTTGAAAAAGAGAAAGTGAAAATGTGTGTGTGTGTGTATGTGTCTGTGTGTGAGAGACAGAGACAGAGGGAGAGAGAGAATTAGCAAGTAGGCACCAACTTAAAGGTTTATTTGTAGTGTTTATGTCACCTGATTGACTAACACAGACAAATGTGCTGAGTGAGAAATATAGCTTTCAAGATTTAAACACACACACACACACACTCACTCACACGGACACACACACACTCTCAGTCACACAGACACACACACTTTCTCACACACACTCACTCACAGACACACACACTTTCTCACACTCACACACACACACATGCACATACACTCACACAAACACACTCACAACACACACAGACACAGTCATACACACACAGATACACACACACACACACACACACACACACTATCTGAAAACTTCCTTCTTTCTTATTGAGGTCTTTTCTCTTTCCTTCAGCTCCATTGCCCCGTCTCGTTGGCTTGGAAGTTCCATGTTTATTAAATGTTACTGTGTGCTTAACAAAGTCTAAATCAGAAGTTGTTTTTTTTCCTTTCCTCCTATTATTTTCCTTTCTCCTCATTCCTTTTCCTTTCTCCCCAAGGACACTGGAACATTCCCACTGGAGTTTTTTGTTTGTTTGTTTTGTTTTGTTTTGTTTGCAGTTGAGCAATTTCATACAGAAAGACTCTTCCATCAGTGTTGGCAGCCTTAGCTTCTGATGTCTGGCTTGTTTAGCACTTGTGTCTTGACAACATTGCAACCCTCTTTAAGAAACAGCAACAAAAATAAATTTTGTTATGGAAAATACAGACCATTGGAGCTGGAAAGAGGTTCAAACTAGTGCTTTTCAAAGACCTCACTAAGTCCAGAAATAAGAAATATGCCCTGGGGTGCGGACCGATGGCTCGTGGTTAAGAGGGCATGCTGCTCTTCTAGAAGACCTGAGTTTAGTTCCCAGCACTGACTGTAGGTAGCTCACAGCCACCTATGACTCCAGCTCCAGGTCTGATGCCGCTGGATGCCTGCATTGGCACCCATATTCCTGTACGTGTACCCAGACAAACACACTTTATTAAAAACTATAAAAATAAATCTTTTTAAAGATAGGGATCTGTTGTTCCATTGCCAGTATACCCATATGTGACATATAAAGTTAAATAGAAATTAAATATACTGGTCTGTGTAATAAACCGAGTCAGTCCATTCTAGTCTACCCTCTTTTTATTAAAAAAAAAAGTATATATGGTCCAGGCCGAATAACTGATTGCACACCCACCAAAGGATTTGTGCCACAGTGTAAAAATCCAGATGTGCCATGAAGTCCCTGATGTGCAGTGGAGGAAGCCTTGTCCCTCCGCTGTGGCTTGGATCTGCAGGAGCTGAACAATAAGTGCATGAAGACCCCATACTCTCTGAAACTCACATCCAGTTCTTTACCCATGTGTTAGTCAGGTCAGGAACACACACACACACACACACACCAAACAAGTGTAACGGGGAAAGCAGTAGGCTTTGGTGATGTGTAATTATAAATGAGAAAACTAACCTCTACTGTTATCTCTTACATGTCTGACTTTGGCCCAAGCAAAGCCCCAGCTCAGAAGCACAAACACAGTAGTATTTCAGACTGTTTCTCATCAACTCTGATCCTCACATACAACCACGTTTATGTGAACAGCAAGAAGAAAACTCCCCAGAGATTGTAGCCAATGAGAGAAACTAGTTGTTGGTACGGTTTCATAGACTTGGCGAATTCTGTTTTCCATGGTAGCTGGTAGCTCCTTGGCACTGTCTGGCACAGCCCCAAGCATGTGGTAAGCTTGAGATGAATAATATTTCTTGATTTGTAAGCAATGGCATCCTAAGAACACTGAAGAAGAACCACATCATGGTAAAGAGATAGAACCATCACGGTGAAGAATATCACCGTGGAGGAAAGCAGACCTATTTATTGTGGGCAAAGTATGTAACTTCTTCTCTGCTGCCAGTCTCATAGCATGATCCTATGAGTTAATCAAGAAACACATTTCTCCCGCAAGGCCTGACTCGTAGGCAGCATAGAAAAGGTAGCTGCTGGCTGTTGCCCCAGGCTATGTTAACTGGGCAGCATAATACTGAACCTGTTTCAGCATCACTGAGCTGAGAGGGAAGGTCAGTGCGATCCAGTTACTAGTGGATGGTGTTCGTGGTCCACCACGCTCTACAAAGCACATCTCTGTCTATCACACTACGAGAGAATTGTTTCTTACAAAACCAATGGAGATCTCAGCAAGTGATTAGGTAAACAGCCTGTGAACATGTCACAGAGAACAGTTGTGCGTTTGTGATGGATGGAACTTTTGACTTAATTCAAGTCTAAAGATAATGCTATAGGGGCCACGGCTGCTTGCCCCTGACAATACCCATTGTACGGTGTCATTTGGTGGTGGGGGGTGACTTCGGGGAGTTGTGTGTGGGGTGCATTAGTCATTGCTAGAATTTTCAAGGAAGTGTTTAGAAAGTCTGAAGTCGGGAACAGCAGAATGGGTAAGAAGTTCTGGGGCCCTGCACACAGATACTAGGAATAGGGCTGCAGTTTCCTCTCTGTCCAAATGTGAGTAACTACCACAGCCTTCTAATGTAGTTCACTGCTGGGGCTCACGTATGTAGAACACCCTATAATTACTTTATAAAGGTTATCTTTTATCAATAATGAGGCCTGGAGGAGCAGATGACTGATGCCCTGGATGACCAAAGGGGGTTCCATCCACTCACCTCTAACCTTCTACTGAAGGATGTAAGCTCCCCATGGCCTGTGACAAAACACAAAAGGGGACAGAAGCCCCAGTCAGCATGCGGAGGTCTGAGCAGCCCTTACTTCTTCGTCTCTTCCCGCAGGTGCCTTCGTGGTGTGCTGGACTCCGGGTCTAGTGGTGCTCCTGCTGGACGGCCTGAACTGCAAGCAGTGTAACGTGCAGAACGTGAAGCGCTGGTTCCTGCTGCTGGCACTGCTCAATTCCGTCATGAACCCCATCATCTACTCGTACAAGGACGAGGACATGTACAACACCATGCGGAAGATGATCTGCTGTGCCGCGCAGGATAGCAGCACTGAGAGGCGCCCCTCCCGCATCCCCTCTACCATCCACAGCAGGAGCGACACGGGCAGCCAGTACCTGGAGGACAGCATTAGCCAGGGGCAGGCGTGCAACAAGAACAGCTCCTAAGCCAAGGACGCTTCCGCCCTCTTCCCCCGGGGAAAGAGCAGTAAAGAAGCCTCACCTGTCTCAGTAAGCACGTGGACAGGGTTGTTAGAGGCCTCCATGAATCATTGCTGGGGCTTTTAAGTTTTCATTGTCAAGATAAGATACTGCGTTTAGTAAAAGTGCACAGAAAAGGGAGAGATGAACAGTGGGTTCCAGCTTGTTGTCTCCGAACTCAAGCAATCTCGCAGGGCATGTTGGGCTCTGCCACCATCTTGCCGCCATTGTCTGTGTGTTTTCAAAGATGGTGTTGAAGGTCCTAGGTCAAAGGAAGTAGTAAATAATGGTACCTGAGCCTCCTTGTGTAGCTGCTAGACTCTAGTTGTTTCAGCACGGATTTAAAATGTTCAGGAAATATTTTAGCAGTGGATTTTGACTTCCCCAGAGAAGCCACAGCCAGGAGCTAGATGGGCAGCTGTATAGAAAAGTAAGTGATGATATTGACCGGCAGGCTGAACCTCTTCAAATAGCGTCAATATGAGCATGAATAGATCCTCAGTCTTGGTTATCCAGATACCACTGAGGGGCTTGCTGGATCCTATGTGCAGAGTAATTGCACATCTAATATTTTAACCAAGGCTGCCAGCACTCTTTATCTTACTTGTGGACTGAATTTTGATCTTGTATTTTTCTCCTTCAAAGGCTTATGAAAGGCAGATCAGTTAAAAACAAAAATAATGTTCCATACACATAGGCTACTGACCAGTGTTTTCTATGTAAGACATTTAGAGTATATTCTGACTTAAGGTAAGAATAACTTCAAAGCAGGTACTATAGTATTTATGTAGTTTGCAAATGTTTACATGCTCTCCTCTCTCTCTCTCTCTCTTTCTCTCGCTCTCTCTCTCTCCTCTCTGCTGTTGTGATGTAACATTTATGTGCACAAACTACTTGTAATAAAAGATTTTAAGAAGTTATGCTTTGAGATATAATGGCCTAAAATATAGAGCATTATGATTTGAAGTCTTGGATCTTACATGCTTGATGCAGTAGGTAGGTGTACCTACCTTATGTGAAAGCTACCTATAAAATAAAAATTTTAAAGGACCTGTTATCACTTGATGAGGTCCATTATTGCTTTGTATGTTATCTAAGCAAAAATACAGCTTGTGGTAACTGTGACTCATACTTCTATTGTAGAAGAAAAATCAAATTTGCCATGAAGTGCATACTCTCGGTGTTTTATGTGAGCATTCCGAATCTACAGCTGGCCAAAGGGTGGAGAATGGAAATTGAATTCCAGTCCCTGAATAGCTACTAAGGGATCTTTAAAGGTTTTATTTTGAGGCAAGAACCATTTTTAGTGCCCTGCATCCGAGTGTCATATTCAGAATGGTGTCTGGAGGGGATCCAAAAATGTGGAAACACAGGGTGGAAATATATAGCTTTTGTTTTTATGCTCACACACATCTTGAGAACGGCACAAGAATAGGGAATTCATGTATATTTGGAAATGATGTTTGGAGGGGTTACAGAGTTCACAGAGACCACTCGGAAAATCCAACATTTGGTGTGTGAGAGGAATAAAGGCAAAGAAAGAGTGTTCCTCTGACAGTTCTAAGATCCTGAGTCTGCAAATCTTACCTGCGTTCCTTGCAATGCTCTTACTGAATGTCTCACCCAGACTTTGTCAGCTCCATAGTTGAGTCTAAGCACAGGTCAAACAAGACCTCATCTCTTTAAGTCTGCAGTATTGTCTGTGCTGTTCTGATCAATCTGTGCTGTTGAGAGAAATTAGTCCGGTATCAAACTGCTATCTTGGAAAGAAAAAAAAATGTTTGAAAACAAGCTTTTGAAATTTTTTTGGTGAAAAACAATTTTGTTGCAACTGAATGCCTGTTTGTGACTTTTAGAAGCCCCGGATCTAAATAGAGTGACAGAACTACGCCCAGTTGCATTTGTACAAGTCCAACTAACTTTCACCATCTCTGTATGCCTCCAACTATGTGAACACCCTTATGAAAACCAGTATATTGATCCTTTTCTACAAATGCTAAAGGTCAAAATGGGTCAGCGGGTCAGTTCTGATGCCCTGGGTTCTGAGCACATGCCCACCTCATGTTAAGATGGCCTGGGACCAAGCCCCCAGCATATGTGACAGCAACCGTGATTCTGTTCACCTGCAAACATTGCTCCATGCAGACTACAGGTTTCTCCGAGCTCTGTTTGCTGATGGGCCTGGCCAAGGTACTTGTCTTCTGCCTGTTAGCTCGATAGGATAGTCCTCTAGTCACCCCAGTGAAGGGCATAGACTATGTGGTTCTCCTTTCCTCATTGTGGAACAAGTGTAATGAAGGTAAGCTGTGTAAAGACACCCATGAAGGTGACTTAGTGACAAACTCGAGACTCATTAGAATCTGGAATAAAAATAGCCTCGACATTAGCCTATAACACAAAGTATCTCACTGTGTCCTGAAGAGAATTAAAAACACCACACAGCAGATCTGATTTCCGGGGAGCTTACCATAGAATCTCATTCCCTTGGTGGATCACTAAACATGGTGTTAAATTGGAAATCCCCAAAGCGCCTTCCAGTTTTATATATTGTCCTTGAGGCATAGAAGCTGGGGTTGAGATTGCTAGGAGGATTTTTAAAGGAAGAGAAAGTACATTTTGTGTGATGCTCTCCCAAACACATGACACAATTTGCTCGTGATTTAATATTAGTTTCCACAGAGATAGAAGTATTAGGAGGCACGCTGTTGCTGTGGATTTATTTTTGCCCTGCTGCTATATTTTATTCATTTTCTCCACTGCATCTTAGCCCTCTTTCTCAAATTATCAGATGACAGATTATCGATTGCAGTTGTTAGGGCCTTGGGTGGTTTATTGCCTGTAACATCTGGGATGAGGTTTATAGCGCAAACAGTAACCCATGCAGCACTGACTTGTGTGCAGAGGTTTCGGCACATAAATAAAAGTATGGGTTCCATCCTACTATGTAACACGGTCACTGTGGGTGACAGTCAGTGATCCGAGTTGGCCATTCACTACTCCAACCTAGTTTTGGATCTTGCCATTCATGGCTGTTTTTAAAAAGATACAATTTTATGCAGCAACACATAATATTTTTTGTGTATCAGCAATCTCAAACTTGTACAGTCTCATTTCCATAAGGTGCACCTGTCCTCTGTGGTTGAGGTTACAGCTTGCACATTACACAGTAAGGTATATTGAATCAAAAAGGGAGAGCTGGGTACCGTATCTTGTGCTGGGTCCTTGTGCACATTAGGAAAAAATATCTGATACTTCCTGAAGTCACTTTTCCACTTTTTATGTGTGTACACATTTGTTTGTGCTTGTACATGTTCAAGTGTGTGGTACATATGCACATGTTTTTCCATGTATGAGAAGACCAGATGTCAAGATGACGATGGCCAAGGTGTCATTCATCTGGATGCTGTCCGGCTTGTTTTTGAGACAGGGTCTCTCCATAACAGCGATAGCTGATTAACAGTGTTTCAGGTTACAGAGTCAGCACACAAGCCAAATGTCTTCCAAATATACTAATAATAAACTTGCTCAGACAGAAACTAGGAAAAATATCCTATACTAGGTATATAATAAAAAATTAACTTGTTATGAAATTAAAAAGATACTAAACAAAAAGACCTCCCATGATCCTGGATCAGCAGGATGAATGTATGAACATGACTGTATCACCAAAGTAATCTATGGATTTGATGCAATGCCCATCAAAATTCAAATGACATTCTTTGTGGTCATAGTTGGCATAAGACCATGGACGATATGGCTTGATATCCTCCTCATGTCTCTAGGATCTTGACACAACAATGAATAGCAAAGGTAGGTGTAAAATTCAGACATCGCAAGTCATTAAAAGTAAGGTTTATTGTCCCTGTGATCTTGAGAGAACAGATCAAACCTTTTATAGAAGGCAGCAGCGTTTGATCCAGTGAGCAGAGAGTGGGGTTTGTTGTTTTGAGGGAGAGTAACACGAAAAGTTCTTCTTCTGATAGAAAGAAGGGTGCAATTAATGCATCTGGGAGGAAATTGTCATGAAGATAATCTCAGTATAACACACAAGGAAACTGAAAACCACATGATTGAATGAGTGTTCAAAATAAGTTGTGACTAAATTAAGAGTGGGATTTATTTAAGTTCCCCCTGCGATCTTCTCTATTAGCAAAAATTGCTGGTTTCTTAGTAACTATGAATAACTTCCAAAAAGCCAATGTTTAATGACAATAAGTTATCCGAATGAAGAAGGGTTTTACTCCTAGAGTAAACCAGTTTTTGAGAATATATGCCAAGGAAATGATTCCAAACAGAGAAAGGGCTTTGTAAGCAAAGGTGATTAGCAAAGCATGATTTATGGCAACTAGGAACTTCTAAACTGTGTCAGTATGCAAATGTATAATGTCATGTACCACAATCGAGGCCACAGTCATGGCTTGTTCATATACTAGCCAGGCAGTGTTAACAAATTACTCTGTGCCTTAGTTTATCTATCTCTAAAGAAAAATAATAATTATATCTCATAGGGTTTTATGGAGCTCAAAGGAATCATAGCTAAAATATGTAGAAGAGAACTGGCACTGGGTGTGCATTGTTTCTTCTTATTATCGATGGAATAATAATAATAATTTTAGCAATTTAAAATTACAGGCATGAATAATCTAATATCCAAAACATGTATATTATAGACTTTTCTGACAGACTTAATATTGTACAAAGAGATGTGTCCTAAGAATGACTTTAAGGGGTTGGGTCAGAGCTACTTTGAAAGTAGAATTACTTTTTGCAGAAACAGGACACCAAAAACATCCCCATGTTGTTGGGTGATTAGAATTCAGTTTTAGTTGTGACATTAGTTGTTTTTGAGACAAAGCCAAGTGGAGATTCCATCACAGCAGCCAGGTAAACAAATCTAGATCGGAGATTTCAGTCTCACAGATACTCGTGCATGAGGAACTTCGAAGCCCTGAGCTGAGAATTCACTCAGCTAGTGAGTGAATACAGACATAATGACAGGCTGGAAAATCGGCCCCTGAGGATTCTCTAGTGTCTGAAAGACAGAGAAACAAGAAGTCAATCAAGGAGACAGAAGGCAAAGCCTGTGCTGAAGGAAAAAAAATCCAGAAATCCACAGAGACCTTGGAGCGAACAACTATGTCAAACACTCCAAGTCAAGGCTTGAGGTTTCGCCGTTAATTTGGCCTCAGAAGTTATGAGGACGTTGACACGGGAGTTTCAGTGGCGTGGTGGGGATGAGAGCCAGTTTGAAATGGGTTCAAAGGAAAATGGGAGGAGAGGTTTGGAGGCAGTGAGGACGGGCTATTTTTGAGGCAATTCTCGTTTTGTTTTGTTTTTCCTGAAACGGGACCACAGAAAGAGAGTAGCAGCTGGCGGGGCATGTGAGGTCAGCGAGGGATTCGATGCTAGAAAGAAAGGTTGATAACTCAGGACACCGAAGACAACGATGTAAGGAATAGGAAAATTCACAAAGGGGACTGGTCATACAGGGACATCCACTCAGTAAGACGAGGGAAGGCAAGGTTTGAGCTCATAGAATGGGGAGACGTAGTACAGAAGAGATGCGGTCTCGTATCTCCTCCGGTGTTACGGGTCGATGAGTATTTTGGGCTCTTAGCAGAGAACATGCCAAGTCTGAGTGAGTTAGGGGTCGAGAAAAGGATTTAAAAAAAAAATCATGGTCCAAACCTTATAATGGATACTCCATGAACGAAAATAGCGAAGGTAAAACACAGTACGATCTTGTCCTTCAAGAGAGGATGCTTGCTATGAACTTCCTGATCGGGGGACACCTCGATGGGGAAGGAGGCGGGGCAGCCCAAACTCAGAGCTCTGCGGGGAGTCCAGATGCCTTGTGCATCCTGCTTCTCACCAGCATTCCACCTACAGAGGCAGGTGAGGCCACAGAGGATGCCGTGCAGAGGGAAACCTTCCTGAAAGGCCTTATAATCCCCCCTCCTCCACACACCAGAAACCCAGGAACCCTGAGGCTGCAGAGACCAACGTCTCCCACTTGCCCAACCCGGCACTACTTGGAACCTACCAGAGCCTGAGGGG